TAAATTTTCAAGCCAAATTTAACGTGGTTTAAAGCTTCTGCTGTGAAAATATTGAAAGTATCTTTACAAGAGTATACTTATTTAATTTGCCAGCAACTGATAAGAGGGTACCAGTGTACCACAAACTGTTATAAAGGGGGTGTTTGGGTAAGATTAAGGGGGTGTTTGGATAGAAACTAAATAATGGTTTCAGAAGTGCTTTTACGGTTTACGAAGTAAATATATGGAGGAATTTGTCTCGTTTTACCAAAAAGTGCTTCTGAAACCATAGTTTGGAGGTTGCCAAACACCCCTTAAAATCATGATTTCAGAAGTGTTTTTACAGTATACGAAGTAAATATGTAGATGAGTTTATCTCGATTTACGTAAAAGTACTTTTAAAAAGTGATTTTGGGGTTACCCAAACGGACTAGGATTCTCTCCACTACCTTCCCATCCTCTTCCCCTCCACTACCCTTCTTTTCTCTTCACAACCATTGGATCAAAATTCCAATGGTTCAGATTTAACATCTTATAAAAATAATGTTATTAAAAAATAAATAAATTTAAACTGTTAAAAAATGGTCTGAACAATTTACAATTATAATAAAAAAAATTGCTCTATAATAACAGTCTGTAGTTGTGAACTGTTCAGATTAGATTTTAACAGTTTAAATTTATTTATCTATTTTTTATCATAATATTTATTTTTATAAAATGTTATAAAATATTAAATCTGGACTATTGGAGTTTTGATTCAATGATTATGAAAAGAAAAGGAGAGTAGTGGAGGGGAAGAGGATGGGAATGGTAGTGGAGAGAATCTAATTCCCGCCTGGACCATTAAATAATTGAGAATCAAAATATGATTTGTCCTTTTCTAAACCTACTTTTCCTGGGGAGCCAAATCCACATGGTCTCGGTTGCCCCACGTCTCCCCTCTACAGCACTAGGCGGTGATGTGTCTCGGAAGTTTTGCCCTAAGTTATCAAATTATATACTATTTTTAATTTTTAATATAAGATTTTATTTGATTTTTATTTTGATTTTAAATATAAAATCCTAATCCATTTTGTCTCTCATATTTATACATTTTTTCTAAAGTAACCATTATTAACATTATAATAATGAGTTCTAGTCAACACACTTGATTAGTAAGGATATTTTAGAAAAGACAACACCTATTTAAAACAAATAACTAAGTCAACTTACTTTTTTAATCCCTTCAAATTAGTAAATTGGCTCTTATAATTAGGACGGGATATTATTTATCAGTGTGTTGAGTATCAATGTTTCGCCGGAGGATTTTAAAAATCTAAAAACACGCTGCAAGTTTTGTGGATGGAAATCGAATCATTGTGTCATCTAAAATGACTTTAATAACCCTACTTTTTGAAAGGGTCAAAAAAAAAAAAGGTTGGAAGAAGGTAATAATCAACTTCTTGTCAAGATTTAACCATCAATTGCTAAATCATCTTTAGCACACCTTCCAATAACTGGTCATTATCGTTGGCAAAACAAAACAAACAAACAAAAGCCTGGTCGTTATCTATGACAAGATAAGAGCCGTGGTTCCTTATGTTATTGCCGTACAAGTTGCAGCGATTAAACTATGAATTCCCATAGCCTAGGGTTGGCTTCCCTCTGCTGACACTGCATGCTGCCTGTCCGCTGCTCTGAAACGACCGTACTTTAATTTGGATGAGTGCGGAATGAGGCGCGCACGCAAGGAAAAAGGCCAAAAGCAAGGGAGCAGCCCGCTTCATAAATTATAGAGTAACCCCATTTTTGGCATGAAATATTAAACAAATAAAAAATAAAACTGTCGTTAATCTTTATGGATAATAAACACTAAGGTTAACACGTGGATTTAACAATCATGTTTTACCAAAAAAACAGCTGGCACCATTAATTTTTAAAGGATACTAAAACTAGACATAAACATTAAAAAGAAATGCTTTTTAATCACAGTTGTTTAAAGGCCTAACGTTAACAATTATAAAACCACCCTATTGCTGAAAAATTTGGTGGAAAACATAGGATAGTCTCATTAAAAAAAATCTAAAAATTATTAAACTTCAGATAAAAAAATATGTTGTTATTTGCAAGTTAAGTATAGTCAAAACTTATTAAAGTATAGGAAACAATCTTAATTCAGATTTAGTAATTTCTTTTTTTTTGGGTGAATTTTTCCAGAAAACATTGAAGGCGAGTACTGAAAATAATTAAAAAGATTGATAACAAATTAACTCAAAAAATATTTTAAGGTACATAATGCCACTTAATTAACTTTTTGAGAGTTAATGGTAAAGCCAAAGTTAAACTATTTTCAAGAGTATGAGATAAAATTGCACGAAATTTATTTTATTTTATTTTACTTTATATAATATAAAATTTATAAAAAAAATACAAGTTATTTATTATTACTTATTTTTTATATAAGAGTTATTTTGACATTCAATTTTGTCCTAAATATAAGATTTTAATTCACTTTGTTTTTCATATTTATTAATTTTTTAAGTTAGTCATTGTAACTGTACATATTAAATATTATATTAAATAGTTGTTCTAATTAATGGGTATTTTAAGAAAGATAATATCTATTTATTATAAATAACTTATCTAATTTTTTAAATCTACTCAAATTAGTTAATTTTTTTTTTTGCCAGCCAAATTAGTTACTTATTTTTTATATTAAATAGCCGTGATCGTATTTATTATCCCATGAAGAGTCAAGACAGTTTTTTTTTTTTTATTTCACACCAAAAATGGGGTTACGCTGTAATTTATGGACTTGGTTAAATCGCATGACTCAGCATACGGGGCCACTGCTCCCTTGCTTTTTTCCTCTTTCCGTGTGTTTGGGTCTCATTCCTTACTCATCCAAATTAAAACACAATCGTTCCAAAGGAGCGGAAAATAGTGTCAGCGGAGGAATATTGAACCCACCTACTCATCGACCCAAAAAAGTTTGGAGATGAGATAATAATTTATAATACTAAATGCCATTGGAAAAATATTTTGGAACATTGAATTGCGAATTAATTAATTTAGGATACTAAATGTACTAAAAATTAATTAATTTATGATACTAAATCTTACCATCTCAATAAGTTATTAGCCGAAATGGTAAGCAGTCTCATCTTGCAAAAAAGAAAACATAAGTTCAAATCCCAGAAAGTACACTGTTGGAAGGGTTTTAATCTTAATGCTCTTGACCCATAAAGATTAGTCGCAAGTCCAAAGTGATACTTTGACTCATACCAGAAGAAAAATACTTCTAAATGTTGGATTTACTAAAAATTAATTAATTCAGGATACTGAAAATATTTCAAAGTGCTGAATGTACTGGAAATTAATTAATTTAAGACACTAATAACTCATATACAATACAACTTTACCTAAATGAAAAAATAAAAAAAACTAGTATCATACAAAAGTAGTATCTTGGGAACAATTACCCACAATAACTTCCCTTTTCGCCCACTCATTAACCGCCTCCTCTGTTTTAAAAAAAAAAAAAAATCTAACAATAACTTCTTAGGATAACGACACAGATATTCTACTAAAAAAAATCATGATTTTTATTTCCCTCATAACTCTCTTTTTATTGATATTACTATTACTATTAAATAAAATTATATGGTGTGTGCGTGTATAATTTCGGCAGGAATAGATCTGTATTCTTGCTAAACAGCCATCGCTATTGCTAACAGTATCAGCTCCTCCTATTTTTCTCAATATCAAAGTTGTCCATTAATATTTAATAAATATTAATATAACCTTATAATACAAAATTTATACAAAATAATGTTATCCATATAGGCCATAAATATTCATGCCCATTCATCTTAGAGTGCCGGCGCAACATTTTTTTGGCCAAAAATTCAATTTTATTTCAGTGCAAATTTCTACATCAGATACCAATCATACAACACTATGCATGGGATTTTATTTCAGCTGTTATATTTGGGCCCCAGAAAAAGATATTTTTTGAAATATTTTCTTAAAATCTATCTGTCTTATGCTATTTCACGTGAAATAATTAAATAAGTGACTCTTTGAATATCGTGGGCCACAAAAAAGACCATCGAGTGTCACGTGAGAACATTCTTATTAAAATCAGAATATGATCCAAATTTTATTAATCAGAATATTATTAAATATGGTCCTTTTTCCGTACAAATTTATAGTACTCCGATTCCGAATATAATGTCCGTTTTATAATGTAAATTTACTCATATAAAGCAAAACTCAGGGCGGAGCCTTGGGGCATCACGATGGGATTGAAGGGAGCCTAGCACAGTAGGCTTAGGAGCGTCGTCCTACGAAGTAGCTCTACCGAGGCCCTAATGCTCCTCTCTCTTTCGACTGAATATGCTGGCATTCTCGAAATGCATGACTTGCCTGGGGAGACTGGGATCTTGAGCTGCAGCTTGTTGACCCAGCTCAAAACCAGTTAGCGAACGCCCTAGCCAGACATGCCCTTGGCAGTAACGTGGGTCTGCAGATTCTTGGCCCCGAGTCACCAGGGGAGCTCTTATTATGAGCTAATCTGACATCCTAGTCGCTTGCTTGTTTGTGTTTTTTTTTCCTTTCGTTGTATCCCAAAAAAAAAAATCTGCATCCTGAGGAATCTTCTTCACTAGATTTCTTAAAGCCTAACATGATCGCTTCGTCGTCTCAGTAAATCGTGATCACCACCAGTAGCTATTGTGAACGAGGATTGGAGTTCTGTTACACGGCACCAATTGCACGAGACGACCAACCCCTATCTCCTCACTTGGCCATCAATTATGGACAAAGACGACCACCAGAAATTGCGTTCCACATGGCTGCCGCTGCCACTGAATCATGATTCAATGCTTTAAGTTCATTCATATTTCATTTGGTACGATACTACTCTTCCGGTCTTAAATATAAGACCCTTAGACTGATGTGTATAAAGATCTTATATTTAGGACCAGAGAAGTATGATACAGTCAAAATACCCTCCAAACAAATGTTTAGGAAATACAAAATTTGAGAAGGGCCACCCGGGGGGGGGGATTCTTTATCAAGCGAAGAATTGTGAATTCCTGGAACAAAGCATTCATGAGAAATAGCTCAACTCTACGAAGCCATGCAAAGCTGAAATCGCAATTCAAAACCTTACAAACAGAATCTTCTTTCTTTAGTAAGAGCCACGCTCCAATGTTTCTTTCGCAACTTTCAAATCCAACATTATACTTCTGGTTATTGAACTTACTGCTACTTCTAGAAAAATGAACCCAGGCGCAAAAAAATTGATCATTCATGCAGACTCCGATTCTGCACTGCCCTCACTTTCTTGACTACTCTCAGGAGTTTCACTTGTATCCTGTTCTTGCGGTTCTTCCCCCTCAGGCTTTGCAGGTCCTGGGCCAGCTGATACCTTCACCATTGAAGGACGCAAGAGTCTTTCCCCGAGTTTGAAACCCTTCCTGAATTCTTCAATTATGATGTCCTCCTCAAATTCGGTGGAATCTTCACGCATAATTGCTTCGTGCAGCTTTCAGAAGTGCAAATTATGATTTATCAATAAATCGCTCAAGCCTTAACATATATAATTAACTCGTAAAACCACCAGCTTGCAGGGATTTCAACTAGTATCCAGATAAAATCATCTAATAAGCCTTAACATATCTAATAAGCAAAGGACTGAAAGTAGTTCTTCGGAACCAAGAATACACATTGAATTCTCCACACATATAATTGTGGGTTTTTTAGTTGGAAAAACTCATCAAGTAGCTTGAATCAATCAAGCACTACTCAGAATTTAATGCGTGTCCAGATATTCAGGAAATCTAAATAAAGTTCAGAGTGTTCAAAAAAGTTTGTCATAGATGACCCCAATATGGCCCAAAAAACAAGAAAAAGGTGGATATTTTTCTATTATCTAAAAACTTTTGTATTCATAAAAGGACCATGCTTAAAAATACCGTGCGGACTGAATGCATTGGAGGATAACCCCAAGCAGATAGGTGTAAATTTAGTTTAAGTCAAACAACTCTAGGGTGATAAAATCAAAAAAGACGACATGAATATCATCATCATGTTGTGTAGCAGATAATTGAACAGGCTGCTCCTCAACAACAGGAACATAGTTGTATTTAGACCATGGGATAAACTTGGTTATAGCTCACCATGAAGCGCTAACAAATACTTGGGCTGATCTACCAGAAGAAGAAATAATTATAGGCAGTAAGGCCAAATAATTATCACCGTTGAAAACTTTTTTTTTTTTGTTGAAGGTCAAATAGGTTTTCCATTTAACACTATAAGCTAGAAGGGTCGAGTAAACTTACCATAGGATCAAAAGGTTTTCCAACTGTCTCCACAGGTTCAACTCCAAGCGAGGTTAGAATTTCAATGAACTGTTTATATATGCTTTGGTAGCTGTTATTTATCTTTTCCTCTCCCTCTGTCTCCACCTTGATCTGAGTTTTTGCTCTCTCAAAATTATCCAGTACTGGCAATAAACTTTCCACAACTTCCCCTTCAGCATTTGTAACCAGTGAAAGGCGTTCTCTTTCGGTCCTCTTGCGGAAATTGTCAAAGTCAGCACTAATTCTCAGAACCCGCTCTTTTTCTATTGATAACTCTTCAGATAAAGAAGCGACTTTTCGTTCAAGACCATTTTTCTCATCTTCAATGGATTTCAACGATGACTCCAACTCAATAATTTTGGTTTCATCATTATTAGTTACTGCTTCTTTGTAAGACTGAAATAACGTTAGAAGGGGTGAATCGGGTGTTTCCTCAGCATCAATAACTTCATTGTCACCTGTATCATCCTCTGCACCGGCAGCACCATCTGAGGAATCCTGTAACATGAACATATCAGACTGCCAGCAATTTGAGAGAGGATCAGGAATCAAATTTCTGGATGCTTCTATTCCCTGTATCAGGAATATTTTAACATTCTGAACCTCAATCATAGATACTCATCCAGTGAGAATTAATGTTCCGTAATGGCAGGGAGGCACTAAAACTACAAAAAAGGAACAACCCCAAAAAAAAAAAATTCCAAAAAATTAAATAGCATACAGCTCGAGATATGATTGCAAGGAAGAAAGTGGCACACTACTAGAAAGAAGTGGCATAAAAAAAATGACTTCGTTTTTTAATAATAAAAAGTGCCCCCTAACAAGAGATATGCACCCCAGGCAACAATGGTGACACAAAAAAATAAATTTTTATTGTTCAAAAATCCATAAAGGAGAATGAGAGACATGGAAGCAAATTCATGGAAGAATTACTCCTACTAACACTAATATACAGGAATTTTTAATCTACCCAAAAATCAGGGGGGGAACATTGAGCACAGTAGATATGTAACGTTAGAATTAATACAAATAATTGAATCAAAGTACTTGAGACGACACCTTCATACCACAAGTAGATACGTACTACTAATTCATCCAAAAACAACAAACAAAAAACAAAAGAAAAAGATATGTACTCCTACTTTTATGTTATGGCTTTTTGCACTTCAAGGAACTACAGATTTTTGGTCTTTTATAAAACACCAAAACAATTGCCAATTTCCACTCAGAGCTTTGCAGATAAAAAAAAAAACACACACACACACACTTCCAATACAATAGTATCATCCTTGCTCCTTAGTGGAAGCTGTAAAGTTTCCAACCTATCAAGTAGTTAAGTTAAGTCGTTATTGAAAGGAGGTCCGAAAAAATGAAATTTGGCGTCAAATAATTGAAGACGTATCCAGGAATCCACAAGTCATTATTCCTGCTTGTGGAAAGTAATTTATTTAATACTATGATTACAATCGATGTGCAGTTTGCATCCTTTGGTTTCAGTAACTGCAATTTACCCATCATTTACCTCATGGCACGGATCAAGACTTTCATTAGTAAGCCATCTAAATGGACCCAAAAGAATTGCAATTTACCATCATCAGCTATTCAGTTCCACGATCAATGAATCACAAAAGTAGAGGCCCTTTTTTGACCAAAAAGAGGCCTTTACTCTTTAAGGAACGAAGAAACTTCCCTGTCTCAATAGATTGGTTCAATTTTTTATACTAACAACACAATTTTGGCCTTGTATTAGTTTAATTCTTTGCCTAGCTACCTTATTGCATCTCTCATTTATCTTCTTTACACTAGCAGCTCCCATCCATATTTCAAAGCCTGGACAACTCTAGTATAACAATCCCCATTTTCCTCTACGTGAATGCATAACATAATCGGGACTCGCAGAATTGTTTGCACGTCAGCATTCAGCCATGACACTCAACCCCCCCCCCCCAAAAAAAAAATCTTCTGGATAACTCAAGTATTGATTCTTCAGAAATTACAGGGACTGAGCGCAAAACACTGATAATCTAGCAGCCACTACATCTCTACATATACTTCCCCCTCATACTTGGCAGCCATAATATACGAAAACAGAACTATCAGGAATGATAATTAAAATGTAATTAATTTAGCATCTCTCGAAAACAAAATTGAACTAATATTAATAATAAACAAAAAAAAAAGAATACATAGAATGACTCACCAGGACTTCTGGTTCGTGAACTTCCTGAGCCTCAGCGGTGTCGGCTTCCCCATTGAAAGCAAAGGGCACAAGCTTTACCACCCGTTGCGATGCTGTATTCCCCAACTGCGGAGAGGCTACAGAAAATGGTCTGAAACTACTGGCGTGTTTCAGGGAGACGCATAAGGGTTTATGAGAAGTGGAAGACAGAGGTGGAAGTGGCGGCCGAAAGGCGGTGGGGGCTCTAAGGGCAGTCGCCATCGCCAGGAGCTCCGAGGGAGAGAGGGATAAGGGCTCGGGGCCGGGAGGGATAAGGGAGTTGGCGAGTGAAGTTGAGTAAACAAGGGGAAAATGTGAGCTGTGGTCAACCATGTCAAAAATTGACCGTTGGATGGATTTTTAGTCGTATGATCAGAGGGCGGCATAGCAATGTAAGCGGCGGGACCCATTCATTCTGAAGAAGCTTCTGGGCTGCTCGCCTCGCCTCGCCTCTTGGCTGTCAGCAGCATTCTGCTCCCTCCTATCCTAATTATAGGAATTAATTAATTAATTTAAAGAGATTAAAAAAATAAGTTTATTTATTTATTTATTTATAATAAATAGGTATTGTCTTTTTTAAAATATTCTTACTAATCAAATGTGTTGGCTAAAACTAGAATTATTAGAATGACTATTTTTTTTTAAAAATTACATAAATATGAGAGACAAAATGGATTAGAGTCTTATATTTAGGACCAAAATAAAAATCAAACAAGGTCTTATATTAAGGACCGGAGGTGGTATTTATGTAGTACTAGTACTGCTTAATTATTTTAATTATAAGCAATCAAAATTATTTTTGATTTGCACCTTTCTACATTTTCTGTCTGTATGTTTGATTCAGGATAATATTGTCTCCGGATTAATTTTTGTAAAGAGGTGAGTTTTCATGTACTTCCTCTGATTCATTTTATAATTTTTAATTAATTATTTTATATAAGTTAAAGAAGTTACCTAAAATTAATTATTCTTGACAAAATCTCAAAATTATTCTACATACAAATTAATTGGAAAAGCTGGTTAATCAGTTTACATATTTTAAAATTAGTTAAGGATACTATGTAAGAAAATTAATACTATCTCCGGTTCTTAATATAAGAGTTAGTTCGACTTTTTTTTAATGCTAAATGTAAGACCCCAATTCACTTTGTCTCTTATATTTGTCATTTTTTTAAAAGATAATCTTTATAATAACGATAGTTCTAATCAATACATTCGATCAACAAAAATATTTTAAAAAAATAATATTTATTTATTATAAATAACTATCTTAAATAACTTTTTAATTTCCTCGGATTAATCAAATAGTTGGCCGACTAGTATTTTATACAAAACATGTACCTCTCGGCGCTCCTACGCTTGGATGATGCTTTTGATCCTAACGCATTTGTGGGCGTAATGCCTAAGAAAAGAGTTTTTGGGCCCGCGCAAGTGAGTTTTTCTTTTTTTTTTTGGGCCATCACAACTGAGTCTAATGTTATCAACCAAAAATCAGAAACAAAGTTAGAAGCTTAGGAATATAAAATAAATATATAAAAAAACATATCGGGAAATAAAAAATACTTTTTTAAAATTAAATATCTCAGACTGGTCCCTGCTCTCTAGTATCGTATCTATGGGGGAAAAAATTTTTATTAATCACTCTCATCCTCCCGACAAAATTTAAGAGGTTAACCTAACAACTATGACAGTTTATATTTTGCCAATTCGATTTGATTTTAATAAGTCCTAATAACTTTAATTCAATCATAACTCAGTTTTTACATTTTAATTTATACAGCTCAAATTTAACCATTTAAAGTATGCCGTGATCTTGGAAACTTAAATTTTAAATAATCAAAACTATAAAGAGTGAGTTTACAGTAACCTACACAGGTGTAATTGCATTGTAGAGAGTTATAATTGAGTTAAAATCATAAGAATAAAAAATTAACTTTCTCATTTTAAAATTTCAGGCAGCCATGCAAATTAAGAAGCCTACACAGGTAAAAGATTAAATCACGAAGCAATGTTTCCGGGGCATCAAGTAGTAAGCACATCATATTATTCATTTGCATCAAACGACATTAATCACCACGGATAAGCATTATGCATTGCGGTGAGCGAATTAAAACTGTTAGGATTCATATTTAATTATATTAATGTTTTTATAATATCAAAAGGAGTCCAGAGGTCACGGACGTGGGGATAGAAGGTAATCACCCACAAAGCTTGAAATAGGAAGAAGGCTGTCCTTTTTTGGGCTCATAGCGGTGCCCGACTCTGATTCTCTGAATCTTCTCTGACACATTTCTATAAATAAAATAATACAATACGCAATAAAGGTCCCCTTTTGCTTTCTATTATTTCTTTTGGATACAGTCATACTTGCTGTCTTCAACTCACCCAAGCCTCCGTTCTTCTCCTTTCTCCCAGACCTTGGCCGCCGGAACTAGCAATATGAGGTTGATTCCAAGTTGTGCTCTGTGTTTGTGGCTTTTCATCTCAGTGGTACTGAATCCAGAGCCATTGTTATTAGATGCTTCAAGGGACTGTGATTTTCCGGCCATCTTCAACTTTGGAGACTCCAATTCTGACACCGGTGGTCTCTCTGCTGCCTTCGGCCAAGCCGGTCCTCCTCATGGCGAGTCCTTCTTCCGCCACCCTGCCGGACGCTACTGCGACGGCCGTCTTGTCATTGATTTCATAGGTACCTTCCACCTTTTTCTCTCCTCTCTCCCTGTCAATCTCCGACTCCTATTCAGTCGATTTATTCAGATTCAGATCCCAATTTTGTTGTGTTTGCAACAGTCCATGTCATGGATACTACATGCGAACACATCAGTCCACAGTTCTACCGCCTTGGAAGAACAGCGTGGTCATTTTCTGATTTCTGTAGACGATTTTGAGAAAAGATCGCTTATTGTTTTTTATTATATCAAGGCGGCGACAAACATGTTATGTTTAATTTTTATTTTATTGCCCTTCTGTTAGACTATTGGGTCTGTGCTGTTGCTACTAACGCATAAAACAAAAAAGCATTAAAAAGGAGCGTGATGCAATAACTTAAGGTCGATCTGTTTCCCCTATTAAAAATAGTTTCGCCATTCTTAACGTGATCGACCGGTTTAAATTTCAATTTTATGCATAACTGATGACTAATTAGTGCCAATTAATCCATGACAGTTCTAAAATCATCTTTTAGCACTAAACACACGAATTTATGAAGCCCTGTGGCCCTGAATTTCTGGTAATTAATGTAAAATCGTGTCGGCATCAGTCAAAATAAGAGGTAATGGCCAGATGCGGTAAATATCATTTGTTTCTAAAAATTGTTTGGATAGATTCAAAATATAGTTTTGAAAGTGTTTTTATGTGGTGTATGGATTGTCTCGTTTTGATCTTTTCTTCTGAAGATTCTACTTTTCAGATACGAGGCTAACACTGATATGAGATTGCACCAAGATATTTCGCTCAAATTATTAGAAGAGTTACTCTGATCTTTTGTAGACTCGCAGTCATCTAGCTGTGAGAATTAACTATTGGTGACAGAGATCTTTTGTTTTTTTTTTTAAATAAAAAATTGGTCGTCAAAAGCTAAGGAGCTGGGTCTACCATATTTGAATGCTTTCCTTGATTCGGTTGGCTCAAATTTTACGCATGGAGCCAACTTTGCCACGGCGGGATCCACCATCAGGCCCCAGAATACAACCCTTCATCAGGTTGGTGGGTTCAGTCCTTTCTCTCTGGACGTCCAGTTCGTTCAATTCAGTGATTTCCAGCGCAGATCTCAAACTTTTCGCAATAAAGGTATTGGCTGTGTCTATACGCCTCTCATTTTCTCTTCCCTATCCATTCCCAAAAAACCTAACCACAACTAAAGATACGGTCAGTGTTAACTTGAGAATTTACCTTGACGTGGATGTCATGGATTTTTTTTATTTTTTTCCTTCAGGAGGATTATATACAGCATTGCTGCCAAAAGCACAAGACTTTTCTCGTGCATTATACACTTTCGATATTGGGCAGAACGACTTGACGGCAGGTTATTTCCATAACATGTCCACTGATCAAGTCAAAGCATATGTTCCTGATGTTTTAGCACAGTTCAACAACATCGTGAAGGTGAACTAAAAGTCCTAGATTAAAAAATCTTGTGCTTTCACATTTATGCTTTTGGTGTTCAGAACGCAGTCAATTACAGAAAGTCTAATTTGAACACAAGTTAAGAGGAAGGTTAATGTTATCTCTTCTCACCAAGGAAACTAACTCTGTTACTTGGTGCTTTTGATTAGTATGTATATGATCACGGAGGAAGGTCGTTCTGGATACACAATACAGGTCCAGTTGGTTGTTTGCCATACATAATGGACCTTCGTCCGCTGAAAACAACTGAGGTGGATAGAGCCGGATGTGCCATCCCTTACAACGAAGTTGCTCGTTATTTCAATCGTCGATTGAAAGCAGTTGTGCTTCAACTCAGAAAGAAACTTCCCTTGGCTGCGATCACCTACGTTGATGTCTACTCCGTCAAGTACTCCCTCATCAGTCAAGCAAAGAAGCATGGTGAGTTCTTCTGTATAAGTTTTGTTTGATGCATGTGAGAGAGTGATCTTTGGTGAGAGTTTTGGTTGATGAATGCAGGTTTCATGGAACCCCTGAGAGCTTGCTGTGGGCATGGTGGGAAGTACAACTTCAATAAAAATATTGGGTGTGGAGGAAAGATAAAGGTTCGTGGGAAAGAGGTGTTAGTGGGAAAACCATGCGGGGATCCATCGGTTTGGGTCAATTGGGATGGGGTGCACTACACTCAGGCAGCTAATAAATGGGTATTTGAACAAATTGTGGACGGATCATTTTCTGATCCTCCTATTCCACTGAACAAGGCATGCCATAGGCACCACAATTGAAGAGGTCTAATTTCACGAATCAATAAAAATATTTGAGTGCAAGAGCCGATCGTTTTATTGCTCAGTCATACAATTTCATCTGTGAAGTATGGATACTTTGAAAGAGGAGCTGAGTTCATGTTCGACGCGTACTGGATATTCGCGTTGAATAACCACGCACATTTCAAATAAATCTCAGGTCATTGTGTGTATGTTAATGCTGCGTCCTGTGTCCCCATGTCAATGTCTCTGCTTCCAGTAAGTCCATTCCCCAGTACCTCCTAAAGCATCCCATGCTTCGAAAGATCTGGACGACTTCTTTTTTCCCCCTTTATTTTTGTGGCCGACAACTCGCTTCGAAGTTTTAATTTGATAGACATATATAAAAGAGAAAGTAAAATA